GATGGTGCAGGCATGGGGCTGCTTTAGACCCCGTGTGATAACGTCCCTTGTGGATGAGACATCTCTAGTCTCCCTGTCCTTCACTGCTCTACTTAGGTCCTGTAAATTTATACCTGTGACCTCCTTAATAGAATCCATCCATCTAGCATGTGGTCTTCCTCTCTTTCTACACCCCATCCACCTTTCCTAGCATTATTGCCTTTTCCAATGAGTCATTCTTTCTCATGACATGACCAAGTACAACAGCCTCAACTTTATTATCCTGGCTTCCAGGGAGATTTTAGGCTTGACCTGTTCTAGGAGCCGTTCGTTTGTCTTTTTGGCTATCCATGGTATCCTCAGTATCGAATGTTTCATTTGCCATTGTTTCATCTTTCAGTCCATGAAAAATGAAACATTCAGAATATCATCAGGTGTCCATGTGGAAGTGCATGCATAGAACAGGATGCTGCATGAAAAGTGAGATTGGGATGAGAGAAGGAACTCACAAACTGGTACTCCTGTAAGGTTTTCACTGGCCCCAATTCAGGGAAGTGAAGAACTGGCATATGCACCCATTACTGAATGAATAGTTAACTCTGACCCTACTGATCACATTTTGAGCAGAGAGCAGCTTCAGAATCAGCACCTGGCAACTTTTGGATGTTTCTGGAGACCTAGAAACCAAACAAGACTATGGGAACCCTGGAACCCACGGATGTGAATTTACCTGAACCTCTACTGGTAGTGGGTAAGTAGTCATTTCAATTCCTCACCATTCTTCTGCTGTCAACACTTTAGAGAACTGGGAGAAATTAAAATGAGTTAGCAAGAATTTTCAACTCTCAATTGTGTAGCTGTTGTTGTGTGCCTTCAAGTCATTTCCAACTTATGGCAACTCCAAGGCAAACCTGTCACGGGATTTTCTTGGCAATGCTTGTTCAGAGGAGGTCTGCCATTGCTTTCCTCTGAGGCTGAGAGAATGTGACTTGCCCAAGGTCACCCATGGGTTTCATGGCTGAGCAGGGAATTGAACGCTGGTCTCCAGAGTCATAGTCCAACACTCAAGCCACTATGCCACACAATTGTTTATATTAAACAGCTATTAGAAGTCTGCTATTGGGAGATATTGATATTATATTAATAGCAATATCTCCCAATGGTGGACTTCTAATAGACATCAGTTTGTCTGCTGTGTAAACAGAATTATGAGTCCAATAGGACTTTTGTCTGACCTGACACAATTCTTTTTTATGAAAAATTCATGGGAATGCCATAAATTGACAAGTGACTTGAAGGCAAACACACACACACACACACACACACACACACACACACACTGATAATCTTCATTTGCAGTCATTATGAGATCTGTCCACCCAGCACAGAGATGCATACAATGGTGAAGAGCACTGCCATTTACCTGCTGATGCCAGATTGAGAATAGCTTTCCCAGCTGCCAGAACAGGGTTCAGATCCCAGGCTGATCCTCTGCTTACAATATGTCCTCCTAAAGACTGACAAACAAGGACATTTATTTGTATCCCTCCTGACAAATCCCCATACTGGTTTAAAACTCAGTGACATTTCTACATTTTCAAATTGATGCATATCCTCATCAAATAAACAACATAGATTTGTTCACTAACTGAAGTTTGTATGACAAGTACCCTAGCATGAATGAGCATTAAACAAAAACAAATTTAGCAACTCTCTAATCCAGATTCTTTCTAAGCAGAAAATGTCTTATTTTCCTTAGTACTACATACCTAATTTTTAAATGATTTTTTTCCTACATATTTTTGACTTTCTAGCCTATCATTCTGGTTCAAAGCAGGATTTCTATAGCTTGGGGAAGGGAAGAGCAGAAGGATCTGATATGCGTGTTTCATACTTTTCCTTATCTTTGTCTTTCATTTCTTCTCTGTAGATTGCCAAAATAATATCAGGAGCTCAACCCAGGAAAAATAAGCATCTTAAAAAAAGAATTGATTCAGACAAGTGAAGGAACAAATATTTTATGCCACAGAGTTCCCATGTCTCTCTCGCTCTCTCTTTTTTTTGTTAGAGCCAGCATAACGTTGCAGTTTGAGTGTCGGATTATGACTTTGGAGACCAGGGTTTGGCTCCCAGTTCAGCCATGAAACCCACTAGGTGACCTTGGGCAAGTCACATGCTTTCAGCCTCAGGGGAAGGCAATGGCAAACCTCCTCTGAACAAATATTGCCAAGAAAACCCCATGATAGGTTTGCCTTAGTGTTGCTGTAAGTCAAAAACAACTTGAAGGCACACAACACACTCACAAAATGAAAAACAGCCATAGAAGGCTGAAATCAGAGAGTGATGTGTAGGTAGAGGAGATTTCACTTCTTGCTGCTTTTCTGCTAAAAACCATACCTATGACTCCTTAACTGATTTTCTCCCCAAGTGGAAAACATGTAACATGTGACAAGTTCAAAAAGATATATACATTCTGATATTTGACTGTAACTTGGCATGCATGAGACATCAAAGAAACTCCTTCTACATTTAAAAAAAGTTATAAGAACTCTGATTCTCATAGGACTTTATCACGCAGGGGAAATCCCATGCAGAAACAGGGTTTTAAATAGAACCTCCCCCCCACAAAAGCAGGTAGATTTTCAAATAACATTGCTTTTAAACTGTGCTTAACCTGAATGGAAAGTAGTCAAAAGACACTTCTTTTTACTTTCAGAAAATCCCGAAAGTAAAAAGAAGCGGCTTTTGACTACTCTCTGTTTGGGTCAAGCACAGTTTAAAAGCGATGTGTTAAAATCTACCTGCTTTTGTAGATTTCTCCCACCTTTTAAATCCTGTTTCTGCACGGGACTTCCCCAGTGTGATAAGATCCATAGTCCCAACTATTGGGCAAGGAAGCTTTGATTGAGACGGAAAGATGGGTTTAAATACACAAGCAGCCTCCTCACTATGCACAGTCCTCTACTTGGGATGAGTATCATGTGAGCAGTTGTTTTACTGCATAGATTGGGAGAAGATCATGGAAGCATGTGAGAAAACGATAAGAGACAAAGTAGGACTTTTGTGGACAATTGTCTCCTTGCTTTTCCCCATGATTCTTCTGTCATTGTCACATATTGTTCTTTAGTGATCCATCTGACAGTTCAAGGGTTAGAAAAAGACAGTCCACAGGTAGATACGTACTACTTGTCAGGACAGGTGACATGATGGAAAAAAAATCATCTGAGTGAATCCTCTCGGCATAAATTGCTAACCCAGAAGATCTGGAATGAAAGATAGAATTTGTAGAGGCAACCTGCACCTTAGGAAAAATAATAGTGTGGAAAACTTACAGCCAAATTCCTGATTTGTTCTCCAGCAATAGTTCGCAGCTGCTTCAAGAGAGCCTGGTATATCTTTGTCTTCTTTACTGGGAGTTCTGGAACAAGGTTTAATAGGATGTCTCTCAGCTCCGCCAAGTTGGTGGCTGCACCAATTACGATGCCTGGAACCAAATGACTTTCAGTAGACAAAAAGCACACTTGGCATTTTTAGTAGTCAGAATATGCAGAATATACAATTGGTGTGAGAACTGTTTTGAGAAGGAGGAGGTAATGGACTATCAATACAATCTTACATAAGTCAACAGAATATGCCCAGTTGAGTTCAATATAATGATTATTATAAAATAAATGTGTACAGGATTAGAGCCTAAGTTAAAAAGCCTGCATATGTGACATGCTAAGTAATATGCAAAACATTATCTGCTAAATAACAAGTATATGTATAAAGAAATCATATCCAGTACGAATCAGCATGTGACCTGTTTATATATCTCTTTTTATCTGTTTATATATGAACTAGCCAGAGGGAGTCAAGGCTAAGCCCTATTTAAAATTAATTGCAATAATCAATGTAATCCATTATTTAAATGGGACAATGGATGCTTCCAAATGTGGCTCTTGATGTGGAATCACACTGTTGCTGCATCTGCACTGCAGAATTAATCCAGTTTGACACCACTTTAACTTCCATTGCTCAATACTATGGAATTCTGGGATTTGTAGTTTTGTGAGATATTAAGTCTTCTCTGTCAGAGAGCTCTGATGCCACAACAAACTACAAATCCCAGGATTCCATAGAATGGAGTCATAGTAGCTAAACTGCATCAGTTCTGCAGTATGGCAGCAGCCTGTGTTATTTGTGGAACTTTACAGGAGGTCCAGATGATGACTTCTTCAATTGGACAGCCACTGTTTCATCCAACATGTTTCTCATCAAAGAAAATCCATGAAGGAAAAGAAAGATGGAATAGCTGCAGAATGCCTTTTAAACTGTGAACTTTAAGAGCCCTCTGTCCAGAAGCACCCAGTGACTTATCCTTTGGCCAGAATGCAGTTAATATCTTACTCACTGGAGTCCTTTATATATATAGATAGAAGGTTGAGCCTGCTCTGTTTCCATAATTTACAAATTCATAAGATAACTTATGAATCTGAACTTTTTGGGATTCCCCTTTATGGTCTTGTTCCAGTGCAATGACCAAAAGTGCTCCTCAAACCCTACTGTATAAGCCTGGCACCTCTACCCATATTTCTCCCCACCCACAAAGCACTAAGGAGTGGGGCAGCAAGTCCTGAAGCATCCAGTCCTCTTCCAGAAACAAGGCGCTTTGACAGTGAGGTGCTTTTGGCACTGTCATAGGTACTGCCACAAAGTGCCTCACTGCTAGGAGAGGGCTAGACACGTCTTTGCTCACTAATCCTGTCTGTAGCATTGTGGGAAAAACCTAATTGACAGAGGTGTCTGGCTTGTACAGTAGGGCCTTTGGGGTGGGGTAAGTCCAGAGATGTAGGAGACTATCGCTTGGTGTTTTAAATTGAATTAAGCCTCCTGGTCTGCAGGAGGCGGGATGGAAGTTGGGATTATTGCATGCTAAATCACCACCGAATCACCAGCCACAATCAGCCTGGGTCCCAGCCGAGCTCAGCTGGAGCTTTTTAGAAACCAGAACGCTTTCTGGCTTCTAAAAAGTGCTGGCTGAGCCCGACTAGGATCTGGGCTGATGGTGGCCTGTGATTCGGTGGTGATTTAGCATGCAATAATCCCCGCCTCCATCCTGCCTCCCGTTTGCAGCCTGGGAGGCTTAATTCGATTTAAAACACCAAGCGATAAGCTCCATAGTCATGATGAATCCCATTGTGGAAGAAAGGTGGGCTATAAATCCTGGAAATAAATAAAATAAATAAAATGATGGAGCTCCATCACTGTAACTATGGGGGGTTGCAGACTGTCAAAAATAGTGTGAATTCAGTCCACTTTTAGGGTTAGGGTTAGTGCTAGGGAATCATGGGAATTGTTATTTTTCTGAGACATTGAACCTTCTTTGTCAGAGAACTCTAGTGCCACAATAAAATACAGTCCCCATGATTCCCTGACCCTAACCCTAACCCTAAAAGCACACTGAATTCACACTATTTCTGATAGTCTGCAACCCCCCTATATCTGATTATGCAGGTCCTTGGTCATAGACATATATATGATTTGGTGATATAGTGGTTTGAGTGTTGGAATAGGACTCTGGAGACCAGGGTTCAAATCCACGCTTGGGTATGGAAACCCACTGGGTGACCTTGGGCAAATTATGTTCTCTCAGCCTCAGAGGAAGGCAGAGGGAAACCCCCTGTGAATAAATCTTGCCAAGAAAACCCTGTGATGGGGCCGCCCTGCACCATAAATCAGATATTCAGTAACAATAACAATATATATCTGAGGTGCAATATCTATGGGTGCCATAGAGCTGTTTTATCATTTTAGTTCATTCTTCAGCACAGTGTATTATCAACTGGAGAATTAAAATACAGATCCCAAATAGCTTCCAAGGGTACATTTAAGACATACCATTGTCTCCCACATCGGCAACATGCAGTTCTGGAATCCTGACAGGGTGAAGGATAATGGGATGGTAAACATCCAGAAGTTTCATTTCAAGTCCTAATAGGGACAAAATTAGAATGAAATGTCAGAAAAAGAGAAGGGTAACAGAAGCATCCTCCTCAAATGTGGGCTGCACTAACCAGCTGTAAAATGGGATTGGGATGATTTCAT